AGGCAGGGGATAATTAAACAGCTTCTGGACGTTTCGGCCTTGGTCTTTCCACCTCTTGGACCACAGGGGGCCCACACAGTGTTTGGATGGTATATACTGCTTGATAGTGACCTTAAAATGAGATTTTAGTCATAACTTTATAATATGTATATAAATATAGACAAGGGGCATTACTCGCTAAATAGAGAATTTTCGATCACCCTCAAATTCATGCGAGATTTTCCACTAATTAAATAAAAAAATCCAAAAACTATACTGCGTTGCATAGCATATATAATCCACAATTGATAAACACTAACTCTTTTCTGATTCCCTTAGCCCATTTTAAGAAATTTATTCAAAACCCTTCACTTCTGTCACAAAATTGCTTAGTCGTACGAGATGTCGCAACACAAAATTCCACGGGTAAAATATCAATTTTAAAAGGGGTAGGTACAAATAAACGCATGCAAACAATAACACAATATTGTTTCTATTACCTACCTGCGCAAATAGTCGTGAAGCGCTCTATATTCGTCTGTTTCGAACGAAATCTTCAAATCAGTGCAGAAATCTGCTTCGACGTAGACATTTGGAGAAACCCCGGTCACGTGACCAGCCCTGGTGTATCGAGACCTTTAATTGGTTCGGTAGGAACTTTTTTTATAACGACAACCAAATGAAAGGTTTCCATACACCATGACCAGAATTTCCAACATGTAATCGCCGAAGCAGATTTCTGCACTGATTTGAAGATTTCGTTCGAAAAAGACGAATATAGAGCGCTTCACGACTATTTGCGCAGGTAGGTAATAGAAACAATGTTGTGTTATTGTTTGCATGCGTTTATTTGTACCTACCCCTTTTAAAATTGATATTTTACCCGTGGAATTTGGTGTTGCGACATCTCGTACGACTAAGCAATTTTGTGACAGAAGTGAACAATTTTGAATAAATTTCTTAAAATGGGCTAAGGGAATCAGAAAAGAGTTAGTGTTTATCAATTGTGGATTATATATGCTATGCAACGCAGTATAGTTTTTGGATTTTTTTATTTAATAAGTGGAAAATCTCGCATGAATTTGAGGGTGATCGAAAATTCTCTATTTAGCGAGTAATGCCCCTTGTCTATATTTATATACATATTATAAGGTTATGACTAAAATCTCATTTTAAGGTCACTATCAAGCAGTATATACCATCCAAACACTGTGTGGGCCCCCTGTGTCTTGGACGTTTCACCTCCCTGAACGTTTCGGCTACTTTTTTATCATACTTCTTTTGGTCATATAGTGTATACTGTAAGCAGTGTTCAATCTAGAATGAATTCTATAAACTTTTCAAAGGGGTCATAATTTTGAGAAAAAAGGGGGGCCTCACATTTAGAAATTTAAATGAAAATCAAACTCTAATAAGGTATTTAACTTTAAACATTTTTTTGTTCCGACAACTGATAAACATACCTTATGATGACCAAAAACGGTTGCAAAAATGGGTCGGTCTATTTACCCCAAGACTACTGCAGCATACCCATTCACGCACTACAGTGCGTAATTCACACACAAAATTCTAGATACACACATTAAAATTGTAAGCAGGGGGTACATGCACGCAAAGTAAAATGGTCAGAATGAATGTTTGGGATAGCCTTACATGCATATCAACTAAATGTCATTGCCATCTACCAATGGTTAGGAACAGTCTAAACCCGGCCACAATTGTGGCCACATATCATGTCTGCTTCCTGAAAGTCATCTCAGTCTGATTAGTAAATATTTTAGTCATGTTTTGACGTCACATGCACTGTCTTAAGAAAAAAAGTTTTGGATATTAACAACTGCCAAAAAGTATTTTGAGTTCTCCAATGATCAGCAAAAAGTTAGTCACTTGATTTTTTAACAACAACCTTCAATTATGAGCTTTATGCATGTCATATGAAATGAAAATATAAACAATTGAGATTTTAAAATAAATGTACATAATTTGGGATATACAAAATTTTGGTTATGGGTAATAATCGTATGGACTAAACAGAATACCAGTGATTGTAATGGCTGTTATATTGCTACCTTAAGTGATGAGTCTGTGTTTCTGGGTAGTAATAGTATACTAATACTTAGTGAAACAGCTGCTCATTAATAATAATATCATGTTGACTAAAATGTTCTTAAAACAAAAACATGTTTAAACTTATGTGTACCCCAAGATTTTTGAAATGTACCCCCAATTTTCAATGACAGAGGGTACATGTACCCCTACATTTGAAATTGAGTGGGCATGCTGACTACCCCAAGACTACCCTTAGACACCCCAAGAATACTCCCAAGATATCTCCCAAGATATCTCAAGACTACCCCAAAACACCCAAGACTATCCCAAGACACCCAAAAGCTACCCCAAGACATCCCAAGAATCTTCTTAATGGAAATTAACTTATAAATAAAAATTATTGGAAAAATGACATGCGGGGAAGATGAAATACAAATCAATATTATAAAACAGAATATGATCGATTTATTCACGAATTCTAAAACGTAGCTAAACGCCGTTTTCCGGTACTTTCTGTACATAGCTCTGGGGAATTCACCTAGTGGAGTGTAATACCGAACTCGATGTTTTCGGCCTTTTTTGAAATTGAATTGAAATAAAACAGTTTTTTCTTTATAAGAAAATAATTAAATATCATTTTTTTAATAATTCCATTCCATACAAAAAATAAAGTAAATAAACAAGTTTAACCTTATTTACTATGGAAAATTCCACTATGTCTGTTTCACTTTCATTGATTTTCATTATAAACAATTTATTTTTTGAAAAATTTGCAATAGATATTAAAGGAATTTTGATAATTTTCAAAAACATCAATTATTTTCACCTTACACGGTAAAATAATGATAGAAAAATAGAAATATCATGTAACTGTGTTATGTACTTCATTTGGTGTTATTCCCCAGAGCTAAATCCGTAACGTACCGAAAAACGGTGTTTAGCTTGGTTTTCGGAAAGGTCAATTAATCAAAAATGTGTCACTCATAAAATGACATTGTCGTATAAATAACCTTACACTACATCAAAATCCGACACCCTTGGCATTATTTCGATGTTGAAAGCTATTTTGTGCACCATGAATATCTTAAAATTAACATCAGTAAAAACGTTTACAACAATGCCGGATATAGATTATTTCGTTTAAGTAATTTATAGAGACCTGATATAAATTTCTACTTAATATAGAAAGGAAATACAGTTTTTTATTTATCATTCCATTCAGAGTTATAATCAGTGTCATTAGGTTGATAATTTGTTGACACTCCCTGAGAAGGGAGATAATTCTATATGTACTTGTGAATCGCATAGTTACATATCAGTTAAACAAAGTGTCTTGGGGTAGTCTTTGGGTGTCTTGGGGTATTTTTGGTGTGTCTTGGGTTAGTCTTGGGGTGTCCTGGGGTGTCTTGGGGTAAATAGACCGACCGTGCAAAAATTGTCCATAAAAGTCAACTCGAATAAAAAAAGTAATTTAAATATTGTTCTTATTTGTGCCTTTTTTTAAAGTTCTGTAAGAGGTGATCCGGGCTTATTTTTTAGAACTTATTTGCAAAGAAACAAAGACATAATTATTAAAGAAAAGAAAACAAATTAAAATGAATCTAATTCAAATGTTGCCAGGGTTGTTCGATAATAATGTTCAGTTGTTTAATCAGCGGACCATGCAATTAGTAGAAAACATTTCCCTTTGTGGATGAAGAATATAAACTTACATAGTCCCCCCTCAATGTAGCCAGGAAAAATATAGTGTCATCAGGTGCTAAGACAATGTACATTGACAATTGTGACATACCGGTACCTTTGATCTTATGTCAGGGCAGGAGTTCTTATGTCACGCTTAAGATCTTTGTATTGATTAATGATATGCACAATGTTTTAGCACTGACCAACTGAAGACCAATCAAAATGAATTAACTTAATTGTTAGACACTCCCGCAGCCAATCGTGTTCGATAAGCTCCATCTCATAGACTTTTTATACGCCCGTTTAAAAAATGGGTTGTTTTATAGATTCCCCTGGCGGCGGCATCTGATTTTAAACTGGAGCATATCTCCCACATCTATGAAGATATTTTAATGAAACTTCATAGAAATGTTAACCACTATGAGAAGCCGTGTCATGCGCATGTACCAGGCCTCTAGGTCAAAGTTCACAGAGGTCATAGAAAAATGCTTGTTCGGAGCAAAACTTCTACATGCATAGAGGGATTTCAATATAACTTGGCACAAATATTCACTATTGTGAGGCAGAGTGTCGGGGTGCAAAATTTAACAATGCATAAAGTGCGCAATTTATATAAAACATAAGCTTTGTCTCCGGTTTGCCATGGTAAACAAACAGATTATAAGAATTCAAGCTTCCTATTACATCAGTAATTTTCCGCTTGTCCTACAGGATATCAGCATTTTGTACTCTTCCTGCATGGATCTTTACTTGTAAATACGAGCTGACAACTGAAATTTTCATTCATGTGAATTGTTTTTTTTAGAATAAATATCCTGAGCCGTGTCAAGACAAAACCAACATAATGGGTTTGCGACCAGCATGGATCCAGACAAGCCTGCGCAACCGCACAGTCTGATAAAGATCCATGCTGTTCGCTATAAGTTTCTCTGCTTGTTATAGGGTCTGTAAGCGAACAGCATGGATCCTGATTAGACTGCGTGGATGCGCAGGCTGGTCTGGATCCATGCTGGTCGCAAACCCATTATGTTGGTTTTGTCACCTAAAACAATAATGAATATGCAAACTTGTGTTCTATTAAAACATAGATTTTGTTGAATGTCATGAAAACTTTATCAATTACAGTAGATAATATTAATTTGATATTTGGCGTTTTATAGTCGGAAGTTTTTTCCCTCTGATTTCAAAAATTAATGTATGTGAGAAAATATGAAGAGAAATAAACTTAAACATTATTGAGTCAGTTTCTCAGAAGGTATTATGTTCACCTACAGAAATAAGACATGACTTCATTAGAAGAGGAAGAAGTATGGTGTGAAGTGAGTGATGACGAGATGTATAATCCAGGTAAAATGAAGAAAGGAACATGGGAACCTACTGCAGAAGATATCCTGAAAGTGTTTGAAGAAATCAAATCCAAAAAGGTAATACCACTGTTTGTGAAGAAATCAAATCCAAAAAGGTATTACTACAAAAATCCAAAAAGGTATTACTGCAATTTGTGACTTAAGTTATTATAAACTTATATTTTACATGTTGATTTGATTTCCACTGTATTTGTTTCGCCTTCATGGTGTTTTGGATTTCCTGAAAAAGTTAATTTTAGCAATGCAATCAAACTGTCCTTTACAGATAGGCATAAGACGAAATACCAATGTACTGATGTCCGTGGGAAGTAAAACAAATTGCTGATTTTTGATAGAAAAACAATGTTTGAAGTTATGTGAAACAAGTAAACTGGAGAAAATAGACTCAATTTACAAGTAAACTGGAAAAAAATAGACTCAATTTACGAGTAAACTGGAAAAAAATAAACTCAATTTACAAGTAAACTGGAGAAAAAAATAAACTCAATTTACAAATAAACTGGAAAAAAATAGACTCAATTTACAAGTAAACTGGGGAAAAAAAATAGACTAAATTAACAAGTAAACTGGAAAAAAGAAGAGACTCAATTTTCAAGTAAACTGGAAAAAAATAGACTTAATTTTTAATGGTCAACGACAAGAATATTTTGCCAGTTTCCCTGCAGGTTATAACTGCACAATGCCATATTTGTTCTCGAAAGTGTGAAAATATTGATACCTACTCAATATTGATTTTCTACCGATTAAAAATAGAAACCGCATCACTTTCAAGATTGTGAAAGCTCGCCAATGATTGACTGTTTAAAAGGATACGAGACATTAATAACCTATTGCTGATCATAAGATCATAAAGCATAACATTTTTAGGAGCTGATTTTAATCAGATTGGTGTACCTTAGATTCTACCTTTCTATTAAAGGTGTTGGATTTACACTGGAAATGTCCAGGAAGGAGACATCCTGATACTGATGTCAAGAAGGAGGAAGACAATAAGGAAGAAAAAGTTACAACACCAGTCAAACAAGAGGAGAAAAAGTGAGTGGTATATTAAGATAAAAGTTACAATCAATTTAATCAAGTTATGTCCCTTTATCTATTCTAAATGATAATGCTATTTCCAAAAAAGACTGAATATTTTTCTTTCACATTCGAAAGAAAAATCATAATTTGTGCTATTTTGCTATTCATCTTGGAGGAATATTTTCGTTCTTTGCCATGGGGCTTATGTTGCCTTGCCTCTGCAGTGCTCTTGTTTTAATTTTATTAACAAATGGTAGATCTGTACATACCGTTACAGCATCAGAATTTATCCATAAGTTCCAACAATACAAATATAGTCAATTCAGCCTGACAATGAAAAAATGAGCACAATCACACTTTAAGGCTTATTTATTTTCAGACCAAGTATTCCGAATGAGTTTGATTTTGACGAGGATGATATGGGAGGAAGTAAAACTGTTATAACACCGAGGAGAACTCCAGGTTTAATTTTCTTCATTATTATTGTGTTAATTTTATTGAGAAATTACAACTTATGTTTTTACCTTGACTATTCCAAAAATAGGGAGAGCAGTTGTATTGACACAGGCCCGGGTGTCGGCATCACATTTTGGTTAAGTTTTTGCAAGCAAGTTGGTATGTCAAAAACTATTGAAGGCAATGAGTTGAAACTTCACAATCTTATTTGAGAGCACAACAGGAATATGGATTTTGACAGAATAATGACCCTTTTTTAACTGCTACATTATCCAGCCTCTTTTTTTTACTATCAAGCACTAATAATAGTGGAGGGTGCTGTTTTATCTACAGGTCTTGTTGCAATATAGAAATTCATTTACTTTTCAATGCACAAGGTCATTGACATTTTTGAAGAGGTTACCCTTGTTTATTTGGTTGAAAACCAGATTTTGTAAAAATTCTAGTTGCTTGATTTTTTTTTTTTAAATTAATACATGTGTATATGTGGATTGGCAAGAATAATGTTTGAACACACTACATAACAGGTCTTTCTTTTGACAAATTTTGGGGCTGAAAATATGCTCAAATTTACTCCTGAAGTTAGTAATTTTTAACCCCCTAATGGCAAATAAATTCTCAATTAAAGTAATTAGTAGAATGATGTGGATGATGGTGATGGGGTATATTCAGAGTAACTGCCTTTTTTTTATCAGTGACATATTTAAGACTTAAATTATCACCTGTATTGAAACTGATTGGCGTTTGCTGCAAATTTCAGAATATATTAATAATAAATTTTGTAATTGATACTTGTGTTTGATATCAAAGGACAAGTAAAAAATTTCCCCTTGCATTGACCCTGGCCTATACATGCCAAATCCCCGGCAGGGGACAAAATCCCCTGATTTTCAGCTTTGCCTCCTAGGATCCCGCCAAAAGATCAAATTTTTCTTATTTTCAAAACTTAGGCCCCAGTCTCAAAATGCTTGCAAGAGCCCTACATAAACCTACAAAATGTATATGAGCCGTGTCAGGACAAAACCAACATACTGGGTTTGCGACTAGCATGGATCCAGACCAGCATGCACATCCGCGCAGTCATACCAGGATCCATGCTGTTCGCATACTAACACTTTTACAAATCGAGAAGCTGAAAGCTAACAGCATAGATCCTGATCAGATTGCACAGATGGGCAGGCTAGTCTGGATCCATGCTGGTCCCAAACGCATTATGTTGGTTTTGTCGTGACACAGCTCATATAACAAACTACTGTACAAAATTGACACATTTTGATGGTCAGTTTTTATTGTTTCATTTTATTCTTTTGTAACAAAACATTTGCTGACTTTGTTATAATTTTGATAAACTGTATCAAGTCTGATATGTAAAAATGTCTGAGACATTCTGAAAAGTACCGGTCCGACCTGACAGGTAAAATTACATTCCTTTTTAGCTCGACTATTCGAAAAATATGAGAGCTATTCTAGTCACCCTGGCGTCGGCATCAGTATCTGCGTCTGCGTTGGTTAAAGTTTTTATGCCACCGCAGCATCTGCGATGCGGTGGTGCGATGCGGTGGCATATAGCGATTCACCCGTGTGTGTGTGTGTTTGTGTGTGTGTTTGTGTGTGTGTTATATAGAATATATAGTGAACTTAAAAAATCTTCTTGTGAAAAACCACTAGTCCAATTTCAACCAAACTTGGCAGGATTGTTCCTTGGGTGAAGGGCTTCCAAAGTTGTTCAAAGAATTTCATTCCATGCAGAAATCTGGTTGCCATGGCAACCAAAAGGAATTATAAGAATAAATTTAAAAAATCTTCTTGTAAAGACCCAAAAGGCCTAGAGCTTAGATATTTTGCATAAGGCATTGTCTGGTAGACCTCTAACAAGATTGTTCAAATTATAGCCCTGGGGTCAAAATTGGCCCCGCCCCGAGGGTCATTGATTTTCACTATGTACATATAGTAAAAACTTAAAATACCTTCTTGTAAAAACCCAAAAGGCCTAGAGCTTAGATATATTTTGCATAAGGCATCTTCTGGTAGACCCTTACCAAGATTGTTCAAATTATAGCCCTTGGGTCAAAATCGGCCCCGCCCCGGGGTCATTGATTTTCACTATATGTACATATAGTAAAAAACTTAAAAACACCTTCTTGTAAAGACCCAAAAGGCCTAGAGCTTATATATTTTGCGTAAGGCATTGTCTGGTAGACCTCTACCCAGATTATTCAAATTATAGCCCTGGGGTCAAAATCGGCCCCGCCCCGGGGGTCATTGGTTTTCCTTATATGTATATAGTAAAAACTTATAGTAAAAACTTCAAAAAAAATTCTTCTAGCATTTGACAAATGCTAGAGGTTAGATATTTTGCATGAAACATTGTGTAGTAAACCTCTAGCAAGATTGTTCAAATTATAGCCCTGGGGTCAAAATTGCCCTCGCCCTTGGGGTCATTGATTTCATATAGTAAAAAATAAATAAATCTTATTGTCTGAAGGTACAAGGCTTAGAGCTTTAATATTTGTTAAATTATATCATCTGATGGTACTCTACAAAATTTATTCAAATTTTGCCTCTTGTGTCAAAATTAGCCCCGCCCCCTGGTGGCCATAGGTTTTCCTTATATGTATATAGTACAAACTTAAAAAATTATCTTCTCTAAATTTACAAGGCTAGAGTTAAGATATTTTGCATGAAACATTGTGTAGTGAACCTCTGGCAAGATTGTTCAAATTATAGCCCTGGGGTCAAAATTGGTTCCGCCCCGGGGGTCATTGATTTTCATTATGTGCATATAGTGAAAAAATAAAAAATATTTTTGTCTGAAGGTACAAGGCATAGAGCTTTGATGTTTGATATATAATATCATTTATAGGTCCTCTACCAAAGTTGTTCAAAATTTTCCCCTGGTGTCAAAATTGGCCCTGCCCGGAGGCAGTGATTCTCATTATGTACACATAGTAAAAACAGAAAATAAAACAAATGTTTTCTGAATGGGAGAAAGCTATAGCTTAGATATTTGACTTGAAATGTTGTTTGGTGGACCTGTATCAAAATTGTTTTGAATTAAACCCTTGGGTCAAAATTATGCCTTGCCCAAGGGGACAGTGACCTACTTTCTTGTCCTTTGATGTACAGCAATGACATTTTGACCATGTGCACAGTTTTAGTTGTAAAATTGAACTTTGATATCAGGTGACCTAGATTTTGATGATGTGACCTACTTTCTTGTCCTTTGGTGTACAGCTATGAAATTTGAACCATGCGGTGGCATAGCATTTTTCTCAAATGCAATCTTGTTTGTAAAGTCAAATATCTTAATTATTACTTGAGATATTCAATTGAAACTTACAATACTTATTTATAGTAACAAGGTACATCAGATTGACAAGTTGGATAACTCTGTCTACAATATTGACAGAATTATGCCCCTTTGGAACTTAGAAATTTTGGTTAAAATTTTTTTGTAGAGTCAAACATCTCAATTATTGCTTGAGATATTCAATTGAAATTAAAAATACTTTTTTATAGTAACAATGTACATCAGTTTGCAAAATTGCATAACTCTGCCTGCAATATTTGCAGAATTATTTGCCCCTTTGAAACTTAGAAATTTTTGTTAAAGGCTTAAGGTCTTCAAAGATATTTAATTTACTTGAAACTTTACACATGCACTAAGGGTCATAATAGGAAGGTCATAATTGTATGTCACTGACCAAGTTCCACAACTCTATCGTGCATTTAGGCTGATTTATATCATGTTTTCTACTTAGTCTCTTTATAAATGTTTACATGCAAATTTTACATATCTCAATAACTATTAAAGTTATTTATTTAAAACTTCACATATGCATTAAGGGTCATAATTGTAGGTCACTGACAAAAATCCATAATTTTATCTTGCATTTAGGCTGATTTTTCTCCCCTTTTTCAACTTAGAAATTCATGGTAAAGTTTTGCTTGTAAGCTGTTATCTCAATAGCTACTGAAGGGTTTGTGCCTTTTTTGGGACAATTTTATGCATTCATAATAATTAAGCAGTGATTTACTTGATAAAATATCTTAATAACAAGCCTTTGTACCTTATCTGTCAAATTTATGTATTCATAGGTTATTAGTGTTATTATACTCAATAAAACACCCTTGTGACATTACCTTCAGAATAGTCAAGCCAATACTGTATAATTAATTAATCTCTCTAAGGCCTATAACATGAATTTATAAAAAAAAATTAGCCCTTTTGTGAAGTTAAAAAATTAAACATTATCCAGGCTTTTTTACTATCAAACACATGTCAAACACTTAGAATAGTCAAGCGCCCTGTCCTACCGACAGCTCTTGTTTACATAAACAATCTTCAAGATAATATCTAGAATAAACATAGTAATTATCAGTATTACCTATTCCAAATCAATAATTTTCATAAATAAATTTGCCCTAATGGAGAAATCAGGATGAAATCATTAAAACATTGAGTTGCTTAATCCCTATTACGGTATGGCATGTGAACAAATACTTACTTCTGGTTGGATTAGGTTTCGCGACTACAAGAAATGTGTGTTTTAGGCTGTTTTGAAGGTGCTCGGCTTCTTCCTGTCCAGGGAAAACTGATTCGGTCACGTGATTCTTTCAAGATCGCTGAACCGAATGTCCAATTATGTCAAAATACTTTTTTGGAATCTCTGAATTGTTTAAAACAAATGAAGGCACATGTACTAACCTATTAATAGAAAAAGTGATTTGCATTAGTATGTTGTATGATCAGTGGAAATTTGTTCAATATTTTTAGGATCTGTCCCGAAGTCACAGAAGAAGGAAGCCAAGATGGACAAGATCCTTAAAGACATGATGCAGCAAAGGAAGCTACAGGCTGCTGAAAGAGAGGCTCGTAAACTGGCCGGGAACAAATCTCCACGGACACCTGCTAGTCCAGGTAGAGCAAGGATAGGAAGCCCAGCTGGTTCTCCTCGGACTCCTAACAGACAATCTCCGGTGAGGATCGGTGCTGGACAGTCGGATCAAATCACGACCACTCCTGTTAGACCCCCTTCTGAAACCTTCAGTGCAATTCAACCAGGAAAACTAGACTCTCACAATGTTAGCAATAGCAAAATACATGACAATGGTTTTAATAATTCAAGTTCTGGTCTTAAAAATCAAGTGCAGCAGTCTACACCTAGTGTGTCAGCTGCTCCATCAAATAATATTGAGACCCAGTCTAAAAATTCAAATTCAGGGGAGGCAACTCCTCAAACTTCACAAGGTGCTGATCCTTCACAAACAATGCAAAGGGAGGTAACTTCAAATCCACAAGCTCCTAGCCAGATTCAGCAAGTAAACCAGCCAATGAAAACAGCTGAAACAAAAGCTGAAAATACTGAAATAAAACCTGAAGCCTCAAATCCTCCTACTGAAAAAATGGATACAAGTTGATAAAAAGAAATTAAATAGAAAGAAAACAGTAACAAAACAGTGAAAATCTTCTTGCTTCTTACCGAAGGAACAAAAAGTGTTCACAAAATATGTTATTCATGATATATACATCAAAGGAATAGTTAAAGAAACCCAAACAGCTGTTTTATAAATGTTTAATATTAATGTTTCAATCGTCTCGGATATGGTTACAGACAGTAAATACATCTATAGAAAACAACAATATACATACTGACCTACATAATACACATGTATACAAATAGCAGTTGAATTGAATTGACATATTTGTAATAGAAATCTTATAGGTTATAATAGAAATGAGCATTTTAAAGCTGAAAGGCACATTATGGCCTAGAAGTCCATTTTTGTATTCTTAAGAAATGTTACCTTTATTTTTTCAAATTATTATATATTGGATTTAGAGTATGTAAGGTGTTAAACAACTGAAGAAAGTAGCGTTGAATGTACGGTTATGTGTCATAAAGTCAGCATAATGTAAACAAAGTAGTATTTGACTTGCATACAAATTACTAATTCTCTATACAATGTAAGTATACAGTTACCAACAGAACAAAAGAAGCAAAATATAGTTTATCTTTATGGCAAATGAAAAGTGTTTTGGGAACTGTTACAATATACAAAAAATAAGAAAGTTTATGAGAAATAGAAATGATAGCATTTCTAAGACAAAATGGGCCTTTTTGGATATGTTTACTATTGATTGTCCAAATGCTGAATGATTGAGCAACACTATGAGGTAAATCATGGCTTGTTTCGGAGCAAAAAGCACCCTCTTATGATCAGACAGGAACATGTCAAGGGGAAATAATTTTCTTCTATAGCTCTTAAACTAAGAAAAGAAAAATTATATTTTTGCTGCTTAATTTTGAAAAGGCAGCTTTTAGTGTATAATGAAACTGAATTGTTGTGCAATGAAATATGTGTACAGGACAGTAACTGGACTATGTCTAAATAAAATAAATGTTGTTTTAAAGACTGTAATGATTTTTACTTATTTAAGAAATGAAAGTGCAACAATATTTGTTTTAAACTGCTTCCGGTCATTTAAGACCACTATAGTATGTTTGTAAGGCTGGTACTTAGTAATTTGTTTAATTGCTGTAATATATAGGAAGCAAGGTATGATATTGTGTTATATATTCATATAACCTTATGATTTTTTTTTTATGAAAATACAGGGGTATTCATGGCCAAATGGTTACGGTCATTGCCTTCAGTCCACTTGCCCCTCAATTTTGTGGTATGATTTAGAATTCTTTCATGAGGATGCAATCCAGTTAGCTTACTAAATGTTGGTGGTTCTACTCGTTTGCCAGTTTTGGCACCTTAGGTCTTTCTCCACCAGTGAAGATGGAAAGACACCATATGACCTTTGTTGGTTTCACCTAATACCAAAATAAAAGAATGAAAATAAGATATTTTCAGTTGTAGACTTACAGCAGTTACATAGATATTTTTCCCTTTAACTGCTTGATTTCTTCAATTTATAACTTGGTAATTTGGGGCGTATGTGACCAAGTGGTTAAGTTCGTTGACTTCAAACCACTTGCCCCTCACTGTTGTGGGTTCGAATCCTGACAGGGTCTTTGGATTCTTTCATGTGAGAAAGCTATCCAGCTAGCTTACGGACTGTCAGTGGTTCTACTCATGTGCCTGTTTGCCTGAAATAATTCACGGAAGGGCACCTGAGGTCTTCCTCCACCAGTAAAGCTGGATGTTGCCATATGACCTATACTGTGTCGGTGTGACGTAAAACCCAATCAAACAAACGAACAAACTTGGTTATTAACAGAGTTATTTTCTGACTTGACCTGCTTGTTTTCGGACGTGTTTTCTTGAATTGAATATTTTTATCATTACCAGAGTTGTTTCCCTTTGACCTGCATATTTGCTTGAATTAATAATTTGGTCATGATCAGAGTTCTCTCCCTTTGACTGGCTTGTTTTCTTGAATTAATAGTGATCATTGACCGAGTTTTTTCCCTTTGACTGGCTTGTTTTTGATCATTGACAAAGTTCTTTCCCTTTGGCCTTCTTGTTTTCTAGACAATTTGATCCCAGGATGATTTGCATTTTTTAGTGAAGATTATAAGACATTTTATGTTGCTTTTTACAGTTGGTAAGAAGTGACTTATTATTATAGTTAACATCATAGCTTACCTCTTCAAGTTATGTATGAATGCAGGATGCCATAAAATTACTTTAAGGTATATATGCTTAGGAACATTTATAATATAAGACTATTTATTCTGTGTTGAACAGAGAAAAATGAAAGAAAAAATACAAATTAATCCACCTTTTAACTGTTAAGTCACTTATTGATTGTAACTATAATATTTTGCAAATTATGATATACTAGTATTTTACAGTGTTTGTTGTTTTCACTTTGGATAACAGTAGTTAGCCGCATTGAATTAACCAGAGCACAGTTCATCCACCGCTTCGTGTCAAGCAGTTGCTTTCACTTTCACAACTAACCAATAACGTCTGTACATGCCAGTGCAAAGGTACAGTAGGAAAGATTTCATGATAGATTTAAAGCATTTAATTTCATTAAGTGCATACCTTTAGAAACAAATAACATTAGTTTACAATTTAGAGGAAGAAGTCAACACTTTTTTAGATCATTTTCTTGATTGTAAATCTCTGTTTCATCCCTTGTGGCATTTATTGTCCCCCGCCTTTTCAAAGAAAAAGGGGAATAAAGAAATAGGCTCCGTCCGTCCGTCACACTTTCGTGTCCGGTCCATAACTTTGTCATTTATCAAAGGAATTTGAAATAACTTGGCACAAATGTTAGTTATAATAAGACGATGTGTCATGCGCAACAATCAGACCCCTACCTCCAAGGTCAAGGGTGCACTTGCTCATTCAAGGTCAACATTGTCTATTTGAGGTTATATGTCGTGTCCGGTCCATAACTTTCTTATCTTTGAAGGGATTTTGTAAATACTTGCCACAATTGCTCACAATAATAAGATGTGTCATGTGCAACAACCAGTCACCTACCTCCAAGGTCAAGGTCACACTTGGAGGTCAAAGATTAACATAGTCTGTTACAGGGTATATTTTTGTGTCCGGTCCATAACTTTGTCATTTATCAAAGGAATTTAAAATAACTCAGCACAAATGTTTGTTACAATAAGACAATGTGTCATGCGCAACAATCAGACCCCTACCTCCAAGGTGAAGGTCCCACTTGCTCATATAAGGTCAACATTGTCTATTTGAGGGTATATGTCGTGTCCGGTCTATAACTTTCTTATCTTTGAAGAGATTTTGTAAATACTTTCCACAATTGTTCACAATAATGAGATGATGTGTCATTGGTAACAATGGGTCACCTACCTCCAAGGTCAAGGTCTTACTTGGAGGTCAAAGATTGATATAGTCTGTTATAGGGTATATTTTGTGTTCGGTCCATAACTTTTTCTTATATCAAAGGATTTTGAAAATACTTGGCAAAAATAGTCACTATAATAAGACCATGTGTCATGCCCAACACCTACATCCAAGGTCAAGGTCACATTTCAAGGTAAAAAATTAACATTGTCTGTTAAAGGGTATATATTTTGTCTGATCTATAACTCATAGTTCAAGGAATTTTGAAATAACTTGGCACAAATAGTCACAATAATAAGAAGATATGTCAAGTACAACACCTGCTTCCCTACCTCCAAGTTCAAGGTCAAACTTAGGGGTTAAAATTAAACAGAGTCTGTTATATGGTATACTTTGTGTTCTGTACATAACTTCTTCATAGATCAAGGGATTTGAAAAATACTTGGAATAAATAGTTACAATAATAAGACGATATGTCAGGTCCAAATCATAGGTCCATACCTCCAAGGTCACACTAAGCGGTCAAAGATTAACATAGTCTGTTAGAGGGTATATTTTGTGTCCCAGCTATAACTTCTTCATAGTTCAAGGGATTTTGAAAATATTTACAATAATAAGACGATGTGTCATGCACAACACCTGGACCCCTACCTCCAAGGTCAAGGTCACACTAAGAGGTCAAAGCTTAACGTTCATTTTATTTCTTTAATAAATTTTTTGTTGCATTTGCAGATCTAGCATTGATCATAATTTTGGACTGAAAGTCCTGAGATCTATACCTCAATCTTTAGAAGTAGCACAATTTTATGCTTCATAATTATAAAACTTCCCCGAGGTGGGGGACGTTGGTAACTCTGTTACAAATTCTTGTTTTAACATAAATGCCATATAAAATCATACAAAATATTTTCTATCAAGTCATACAGAAAATATACTTGTTGTGTTGCATTTTCTACTGAATAATAACTTAGTTTAGTGTAGGTATATTTAGTATCAAAATTGGTTGGCCCCAGCACACTTGTTATATTGACCTGTAAAAGAAACTAGCTTTAATAACCTTCTGGTAAAGATATCCACTGCGAAGAACAAAAATATTTGGTAATTATCATTACCATGTGAATTTGTACAAGTTTGTAAATCAAATCCCTGCATGGTGTCTAAATTGAATTGGTTGATAAAGGAAAATCATTTAAATCCAATGGTCTGGAATTTAAAATTGCCCATACATGCGATGCTGTGCCTAGTTAACCTCTTCAAAGGTTCTATAACTTTGCCCCTGGGTCAAAAATAGTCTTGGCAATTTGTCTCAGGTGAGCAATATAATGTCATCATAACCGTCTTGTTTTTATATATAAAGCCGTCTGAAAGACTTCCCTTGTTTAAAATCAGTGTGAACTCGGTCAAAATCGACGACACACCTATACGAATATCTAATATATATATTTGTACACATAATTCATTAGTATTTTGTTTCAATGAGAGCAGTGGCAAAGTGGTTGATGTCTGCCTCTCAACCTGGCATCATGGGTGCAAGCTCTAATCGGGTCTGTCCGGTCACAATCATGTGTTTTCATATGACACTCGTACTGGTTGGTCCCAGGAAGCGGACTCAAAGTAATTAATATAATTTGCAAGAATTTGTTTGGCAATCGAGCTAAAATACATACATGTAATTATGTTTCAGTTCCATTTTTATTGAGCCCAAGGATGATTTAAATTCATACACGAGTATTATCCCTTTACATAAACGGAATTTAAGTCAAACACGTTTTAAATCGGCAAAAAAATCAAAATATGGTCCAGATTTTTGTTCTGAAATGTATTCCAGGCATTTTCAAATGTCATAAATAAATTTATATGTGTATATGAAGTACATCTGAAGTTGACAATTTAATTTACATTAAAAGACACTGAATGCGTCAGAAATAAAACATGAATTTTATAATGATTGAATAATGTTTTTAAAAGTGTCGGATGCTTATTACCTGTCAAAGTGAAATAATTTGAGCCGCGTCACGACAAAACCAACATAGTGCGTTTGCGACCAGCATGGATCCTGATGCGCAGACTGGTCTGGATCCATGTTGGTCGCAAAAGCACTATATGATTTTGTCGTGTCGCGGCTCATTTGTCATACAAGTATTACGTGACACTTCATCGAATATATAACTTCACGTGTCCGTGAGGTGTGGTGTATTGGTATAGATGTCGGACTACTGATCTGGAGGTCTCTGGTTCGATTTTTTACCAACACCACGTTATGATTATTTTTTTTAATTCACTTGCAATAATTTATTTGAAATCGTTTAATTACACCTAGTTTTAGAAAACCTTTTTAAGTGGTGTTTGTATACACAATTATATTTTTTATTTCGTTACAGTATCATTCAACTGTTCTCTTTGGACATTATGCAATCGTATATATATTAGCGCATGCAGTTATTAAAAATACTACTCTGATAGGACACACAAGTAAAAGATTTGACATAGCCATAATAGAATGGCAATTTTAAAATTAAAAGAAAAAAATAAGTTACTGAAATATGATTCGAACCTTCCAGTTTACATTCTTCAAGTGAAACCCTTTACCAACTGCGTTAGGATGGATTTTTGAATTTACACCATTTTAATAATTGGATATTTTACATTCATATCGATTTACAGGTAGATCGTAACGTTTATGGAATATACCGACTTCTGGGCAAGGTCAATGTTGGTGGACAATAGCAAAATGTGAACAAAATAGTATTTTGACTTCTTTACAAAATACTTATTTTCTATAACTGTACTTATTGCCAGAAAACAACAGTTGGAAAAGATGGTTCATGTAATTGGCAAATGAAAAACTTTTTTGAGGCTATAAAAGTACACGAAAGTAAAAAAAGTATTGAGAAATAAAAATTTAAGCATTTATAAGGCATTTAAGTTTCTTTATTTTAAGCATCAAATTCTGCTATTAGTTATTTTGTCTGAAATACGTTTCAACTCGACTCGACGAAGTATATGGAGAGCTGTCCAACTCGCCCCGGCGTCCGCGTCCTGATTTCAGATTAAAGTTAAGGTGCAGTAAAATATTTTTCACTATAACTTTTTCATTTCTTAAGGTACCAACTTCAAACTTTAAATATATGTTTCTTATCATTTACCAAATCTTATGTGACAGGGTTCATAACTCTTGCACCAATATTTTAGATTTATCTCCCATTGAACTTAGAATTTTCCTGGATTTTTTTTTTATTTTTTACTATAACCTTTTTAGTTTTTAAGGTATCTACCTCAATCTTCAAATACTTAGTCCTTATCATCAATTACATCTTATGTGACAAGGTTCATAACTCTTGAAGCAATATATACAGTTTTATCTCTCTTTGAACTTTGGATTTTCTTTAAGAAATACTATAACTCCTTTACTTTTTAAGGTATCTACTTCATACTTCAAATATATATTTCTTATCATTACACACATGTTGTGTGACATGGTTCATTACTCTAGCGTGACTATTTCCTTGATTTTGGAATTTATGTTAACAAATGCTATTTTTATTAACTATAACTTAACACATAATTATACATAATTGATTTTTCTTTCATAGTTTTGTCTTCCTTACTGTACTGCGTCCAGTATTTTAGTTTCGCTGTCTCCTGTTTCAGCTCTTGTTCGTTATGGTGTCGTGTAACAATTTCCAAAAAGTTACTGATTGGTCACATAAATAACCCATTGTTTGCTCCTTTTTTCATTTGGCAGTCATTAATTTTATAGTTACATGTACTTGGTATTTTGTATGAAAGTCAAAATTCTACTTTGTTTACACGTTGCTATTTTTTGACAAAGTATGTATTCAGCGTACTTTCTTTAGATAAGCTATCTTGATTTTCATCAATTATATCAAAATACATATGAGCCGCGTCACGACAAAACCAACATAGTGTGTTTGCGACCAGCATTGATCCAGACCAGTCTGCGCATCCGCCCAGTCTGATCAGGATCCATGCTGTTCGCTATCAGTTTCTATACTAGTAATAGGGTTGGTCAGCGAATAGCATGGATCCTGATCAGACAGCGCGGATGCGCAGGCTGGTCTGGATCCATGCTGGTCGCAAACCCATTATGTTGGTTTTGTCGTGACGCGGCTCATATAATCCCTTGCAAAAGACTGAAAAAGTATTCATTTCTGAGAAATAATGTGCCATTAAAGCACAAAAGTTAAAGTAAATTGTTAGTTGCTCACATACATGAAATAATGTAATTACGTATGCTACTATAGAGCTTATTTTACCGCACGATTTTCAAAAAACTTCTATGATATCACAACGAAGCTGTGCTCTTATATTTGTCTTTGTAATTAAGTCACAATTACAAATTGTTTTTGCTTTCATTTTACTTCATTTTGGCACTGTTTTGTTCTGGTTTTACGTCAACGACTAGTTTTACACCACTTTGACAATCGTTTGTTTCGGTTTTACGTCTGTATGACATTGTTTTGTTCGGGTTCAAAGTCACGATGGCAAAGTTATTGTCATGACCCACTTGTTGGTTTCGGCTTTGTTTAACCTTTTAGATAACGTTTTCATGTATTGTCATTAGCGTTATTTCTTACAAAGTTATTACATTGAATGGCCACACTATATTTTTCATTGTCAGTTACTTCATAAGTATATACCGTTAAGTTTGGGTGTGTTGATGCACTTTGATGAGTTCTTGTCTGGACGCCCAATTTCAGTTCAAAGGTCAATGTCTTATGCAATTGAGACACTGTTTAGATTATATAGCAACATTCCAGTTTAATGATTAATGATTAATAAATAAAATAATGTCAATAGTAACGATCTTTGCATCGAACGTCTATAGCTATAATAACACATGTTAATAATATAGCTTTGAAAGACAGACAGAAAAAGGGAGGAAACGTAATAATGTAACACCCGATCACATCTCGGGATGAAAGAGAAACTCACTGATTGAAAATGGGAATTTAATTTATTTATTGCTTTTGAATTACCTCTACCGCAGTTTAAGATAAAAATCGACGAACAAAACTGTTATATGTTTAGGGAATGTGCCACATTCTCTTTGAAGTTTGTAACGCGGGTTTTTATTCTTTGTACGCATGCGCAAAATCTGAAAATCAGCAATTTCATTTTTTTTAAACAGAATGACTTTCTTTTGGTGACGAGAAAATGTATGAAATGTAATAGACGTACTGTTTAGAATTTGACATACTTTTTATTTTAAATCAGCATAGCGTGCTGTAATTTGATTTTGCAGTATTTCCATTTCATACCATTTGAAATAGTTTTGGTAAGATTTGAATATAAATGTACTTATGTAATGAAATTACACATCTTTACAAGCAAAAGGAAATAATGTCAATAACAAAAAAGCATATGCATCACTTTGAATTTCTTTTTATATCAATTGATTCATTAATCGAATTTAGATATCGTACAAAACATACATAACACACTAAGATAATTTGTATAAAAATATAACAATACAAATACAATACAAAAATAAAAAAAAATCGAAATGCACGTGAAATTCAAATTTTGGTTCGTTAGGCATTTAATTTCAAAAATATTTTTTTTTAATACGCTGACATTAGATGGTGTCGATTCTGGCTTTAACATCAGTACGAAATATGCCGCAGACATAAAAAAAACTTCTCATGAATAATGAATTAGCTGCTATTAGTAAGCTTGTTTTAACACTTATTCAATATGATGTTTTCCATTGCTGAAAATCATGTTGTTGTTGTTGCTGTTGTTTAATGTCCAATAGCTCTTTTCAACGTACACTGTCATCATAAATTCACATGTGTCTAGCCATTTTTATTTGAATGTTAGCAATGACGTCATTCAAATAATGTTGTTAACTGTTTTGCAGAAACTCGGTAGAGCCTCGTTTCCAGGCGTAAACAGTTAACTTCGAACTAGATATTTCTGTCTGTAACAGCATCCCTGGTTAGATCCTTAAAATTATATCCTAAATATAGGATTTTCTATTTTCTACTCATTGACGTAATATTTGCCGAAAAATAACTTTGATAGTAGAAAATCTTAATCTGTTTATGTGTTACAGACATTTAAGACTATGGGGCTTTAATTTAAATGTGTCGAATTAAATACAGCGTGGAATCTAGGTCACCCGACGATGATAAGTGCATGTTGTATGAATTATACTCGAATTTTCCGGACACTCTGCAAAGACTTGTTACTTTCGATTAGCCCTACAAACACTAGCCGGTACTGGTTCTTCAACTTTAAAGTTGTTATAATATTGGCCGAGGTCTGTCAAAACGGAGGTTCCAGTTTCAAACAGATTGGCGTGTTCACTGATAAATGCATCAGGTGAGGCTCTTCGATGGACATACCAGGCGTATCTACAAATTAATACAACAATCAATTAGTTTACAATGAACTCATAAGGCCGACTGAATACCATTGCGCTCCTGTTCTTAAAGGGTTTTGTATGACTGTTTATTGACTTAAAGCAAGCGGTTACATTTTAAGAATGGCAATCAATGTAGGTCTAGATGTTTGGAGTTGTGTAAAAAGACAAAAATATTAAAATTAAACTTTTTAATAAAGCCACAGCACCGGATGACTTGATTTCTGATTATTAGTTAAAACACATTTCCTTAACAAGCATTAACCTTAAACAAAATATGACGAAATCGCCCTTAAAGTATAAAAAAGAAAGAATTTCAAAGAAAAAATGTTAGCTGTATTTGACTGGGCCAATTCTTAGATGGCAGAAGATTGCTACCGCTTATCCGCTCTAAAACTAGCAAAAGCAAAGTTCAAAAATTAAACATGACAATGGTGGATTTGCGAATAAAGCTTGCACTGTTAATTCCCGGATTGTGTTCATTCAAACCTTTTAAGATGACACTGTCGTGATATTCTACGAGGGATGTTCAGTATATGTAATGAAAATAGTCTTGTAAATATAAAATCTCTTTATAAACATGAATTTTTATGAAACTACACTAATAGATAATACAAAACTAGATACGTTTTTGCGCCAAATATAATAATGACGCCATGAAAACATGACATCACTTCCTGTTTGGTTCAAAATGGACATCGCATGAAAAGTGGCGTGTGGTTCCAACATAAGAATGGTGCTCGTTTATTATTCATTATTCATAATAAGCTCTTCTACGATGTACCATGTGGTTTAAGATGTAAAAAGAAACTATAGTGTAATCTTCGATATTGTTAAATGAAAGAAAATTTTTTACATCCAAAGGAAAATAAAGTCTGTTTCGGTACAATTATGATGGAAAATATGCCTGACATTCATTTTTATATTAAATATGCCCACTTATGTACACTTTTAAACAAATCCGACTTAATGTCAACAGGTTGGCGTTATGAGCTTTTGGTTTCTATAATCATTATTACAAGTATATAAATAATGCATTGCTTACTTTTATATCTTTGAATTTACTTAATTTAGTTGCACTTTTACTTGGTATATTGAAAAACTAACTTGTCAACAACTTCCAGCATTAAATTACTATTTGTTTTCGTTTTTAGTTTCTTAGCGTAGGTTAGGCCGCCGAAATACCGTATTCGTTTCGTGTATTTATACTATTGTGTTCAAGGTTCTTATCCGAAGACTGACTGAAAGGGCCGAAAAGTTGCGTTTGATAAGGAATGCGTATGCCCGGAACAAGAATATAAAGTAGATTGTGAGATCATAATGCATAAAAAAGGCAAATTTCAAAATCAGGCAACAAATGTGAAGGGTGATTATACTGTATGAATATCAAACCTGTAGACGTAATCTGCTTCCTCTAAAAAAGGTAATAAATCCGTCATGTAATCCAGTTGCTCTAGCGGGGAGTAGGAATTAGGACATGCAAACTCCGTAAGCCATATTTTCAACCCGTATCTGTCATAAAGTTGTTGAAGAAATACCATTGTACTCTGTGCGTTACATGAGTAGTGATGGGTAGCAAGGTAGTCAACGCGGCATGGCACAACTGGATCGCCACAAAGGATGCGAAAAAAATCATCAAACCACGCAAATGTGTCGCTTATACAGTTTGTCGAACCTCCGCTACATGGCGCGGCGGCTGGACTAACGATAAGCATTTTACCCTTTGCAGCATTCTCAATTATGTTCCAATTATAGGCTGCAACCTGCGGAGAAAGGTTTGCTTGGCTTACGTGATTAGGCTCGTTAAAGCCTAAAATAAACTCGTTTCTATCATCAACGCTGTATGTGGATGTAGACCAATTTGGATTGTAACTCCATATCATGGGGACGAATGGGGCAAGGTATTTGTCGTTTATAGTACAGCCACTCGCTGTTTCAATATCGCCAAAATTGGAGTCCCAATTGTACCTGAGGAAATAAAACAATCAGAAAAAGGTATATAACATATACAAAATGTAGTAATCATCATATAATTAAAGAAAATCCTTTTGCTAGAAGTTACGAGTGCGAATTACACTGGCCTATTTCTTTTTGTTTAATTTTACCTATGAAATATGGTGCTTTATTATATACTTATAAGTGGAATATTGAGAAATATTGATGAAATAAAAAGCGTATTTTAATCTTCATCCTTGTTTAATTTTACCTATGAAATATGGTGCTTTATAATATACTTATAAATGGAATATTGAGAAATATTAATGAAATAAAAAGCGTATTTAATTTTCAGCATTTTTAACTGTAAAAAAAAATTCACGGCTGCAGTGAAATTTTTTTTTTTTTTTGTATTTTCACTGGCATCTCTTCACACCTTTTCTTTCTAATTTCAGCCAATTTCCCCCCCAAAAAAAAAATAACGGGCAAAAAGATATGTGATAAACAAGTTTTTTTTTCTATGAATACGGATTTATATAATCTCATGGTATGAAAATTGTAATATTTCACTCGTGACTATTGCCACTCATGGCATAATTTGTTTACATACAACTCGATAAAAATAATTCCTGTATTTGTAAAAAAAAATTGAATATCCTCTATCAGTAAAATGTATTTCATATTAATTTTGTTAAAACTAAATGTGAAAAATAAATATTAAAGTGGGCGGAGTAAAATTCATTTTAGTTTTAGGGACTACTTTCAGAAGGGGTTTTTTTTTTTTTTTTTGAACAATGGAACACATTTTCACTCAAAATGATAAAATTTAATATATTTCGTCAAAATATACTCCATATTTTACTCACACGAATAATTTCCTAGTATTATTATTCACAAGTATTAGCATTATGAATACAATGAAAAAGATGATAAGCTCATAGAGATTGACGCAAAATTTTGCATTGTTTAGGAAATATATATTAATTTTAATACGGATTAACCGTTTGAATTATCATTGTACATAGATTCATATGTTATTTAGTCTTGGCCATATATATTCTATAAATATTTTTAATGCCGATTGCTGAATAAAGATTGATTGATTTTAAGTGAGTTGTTGCAGAATAACGCACGGTTCGACTTCAAATACGAAGGTCAACAGGCGTGATTAATTAATTACAAAGCATTGAGAATTATTTTACAACAAATGAAAAAAAAATCCATTCTTACATATAATTTACTAATGAAAAAGAGAAATGGTAAAATGTTTAACTACATTGAGCGTAGAAGTAATTTTCCTGACGTTATTTTGTTTATTGACGTTAAATATGACGTGTAAGCATTCTTTGTTACGTCGTGCATATATCGTGTAATAATGTACTCGACTGTCGTATCTGTTTAATAGAGAAATAATAATAATAAGATATTAATACACGACAGACCGGATGGTGGTCAACTGATTATGAGTGTCACGTGACCGATTACAAAACTGAAATTTAGGTCATAATTAAATATAGGTTTAAAGCACGGACCAGAGAAGCGTAATTTGTACAAACAGACTTTTATTACAAGATAAAAAAACAGAACTACAAGACAATTTAATGCTGAGAACACATAAGGGAAGCAACTCTGTATAAGCTACTTACAGTATGAGATAGGAATTTCAACGACAGAAATTTTGAAGTACATGTAATTAAAATGTACTACTAGATCTAATAGATCCATCAAGTGTATTCATAGGATTGATAAATATCATATAAATAGACCGGAAAGTGCGTGGTAATCGTCCCTGAAATGAATAATGCCCTCGGACTAAAGCCCTCTGGGCCAATTGTGACTATGCAAACCGATAATCACCTTCTGGCGGCCTTACGTGTATCAACCTATTCTTTCTTAATATAAAGACAAAATGAAGTTGATGCTTCAATCATGAGGCCAATATGTGACGTCATAAAATTCTACAAAGACCAAATATCTTTAAGATAAGGTAGGTACTTGTATTCTTACCACCATCGTATATTAGTTAAAGCGTCCAGATCCCCACATTTGAATGCTTGTAAGTCGATACCATACCCTTTTTTCTTAGACCCATGTACAGAAGATACGATAATTAGCCACGCAAATATACACCAATGAGCTGTATCCATAACTGTACCTGTTTGAACAAAAGCATTATTACACTCAATGTTTCGGGCAACAAATATAGTCGCTTCCACGTGATATTGTAAAAGTTTGTTTGCTTGTTTGTTTGGTTTTACGGCGCGACATGGTATTGAAGCCCGAAACAACAAAAGGGACAGTATGATGATGAAGTGCGGCCCAACGAAGGTAACAGAAAGATGTTGAAAATGAAAGAATGAATGTGATGGTATGACGTTGAGGCGAGAAACAACAAAGGTGACAGTATGATGTTGAAGTGCAGCCCAACGAAGGTAACACTACAATGTTGAAGATCGACACAACAAAGGTTACAGTACGATGTTGAAGATAGACACAACAAAGGTAACAGTAAGATGTTGAAGAGAGACACAACAAAGGTAACAGTACAATGTTGAAGATCGACACAACAAAGGTAACAGTACAATGTTGAAGATAGACACAACAAAGGTAACAGTACGATGTTGAAGAGAGACACAACAAAGGTAACAGTACAATGTTGAAGATCGACACAACAAAGGTAACAGTACAATGTTGAAGATCGACTCAACAAAGGTAACAGTACGATGTTGAAGATCGACTCAACAAAGGTAACAGTACGATGTTGAAGATCGATACAACAAAGGTAACAGTACGATGCTTAAGCGAGAGAGTAAGATAGTATGGCAGTGAATGTAAAATTAAATTCTTAAAATAATTTCCACAATTTACTAAACTGAAAGAAAACAGGAGAACCGCCACCCTAAAGATTCAGTATGAAAATTGTACACTATTTTCCTTAAGAAAATGTTAATACAACATTTTTTTGTGGTTATTATTAGGCACAAATTCATGGTCAAGCAGAAAATGTCAATAAATTGTCCACCAACCGTAATTAAATGTTTCAATATTAAAGAATTAATTATTAATGAATCAATTTGTACATGTGTAACAATTAATGACATCAAAACACTGCTATGAAATAAAGTTATTACTTACTTTGTTGTCACAAGTCCATTTATGAAGTTGAAAAGTGAATATATTTAACAATAGTGTTTTTAAAACTTTATTTGCTATCTCATCTCTTTGCGCTATTACCTTGACAAAGAGAACCCTGTATAAATAACATCCAATCTTTTTGTGATACAATTTGTTACCAGTGCGTACAAAAGAGATGTATAAAATAAAATGATATATATGATAATATGGCAAATTCAAATTACGAAATGAGAAAAAAAAGCCCTCAAAAAATAAAAAGATCATATAAATTTAAGATTTTTATCTTATTTAGTTTTCATATGTCATAACACATATAACATTATATGTATATCATCGTGATCTAGATAAAATTACACTCATAAGTTACAAAATTGGATAATGTTTATAGGCCCACAAATGCCTTTTTATTTTCCAAAACTTTTATTTATCTTTAATGTGTATTTGTATTTCCATAAGGTTACTCATTACTCAATTACTTGGACCATCTTTTCCTTCTGTTCCTTTTTTTAATTATTTTCAATTGGAGTGATTAAGTGTTTTGTATGGAAGACAAATAGTCCACATAATACAATTTGCTGATTTTACGACATATAATTTTACGATACTCTCAGTTATTGAATTAAGCACTGGCCCGGTTGCACATGGCCAGTGAAAATAAGTTCGGGCCAGTAAAACGTTTTAGAAAATTTAATTAAATATATATTAGTAGAATAAATACAAAACTGGAATTCTGGCTAGTAAATTCAAAATCCTAAATTCATTGACTGCATTTTCTTCGGGCATCTTCTAAAACCAATATGTAAACTTATAAAACTCATCCTTTCCTTCTAAACAGGTAAAAGCGAAAACAATAATTCGGTTAGACATATGTACCTTCAGATAACTAAACAATTTCATTCGATGACTGCATGAATACAGCATGAAAGATGTACTGTTTGTTGAATGATGCTGGTGGGTGATATAAGGTAGCACAATTTACGTAAATTGGTAAAAAAAGTTCAAATGGAGAAGATGGGGGTGGGGTAAGTAAAAAACAACAGCATTATATGTAGTCAAAATGTCGATGCAATCTAACTGACTATTTTTGTGTATAAAAATCCATTTCCCTATTATTATTTTTCATTTACATTTTGTCAAGGTGTGTGGAAATTATGACATAGGACAATATAGTACCAAATAATATGTAACAATGCTTGGTTTGTTTCCTATGTATAAACTTTCCCTATTTTTAATTTTTAAGCATTTTTGAAATACTTGAAATGGGTGAAATATATATTTATATCGTTATGAGTATAAGTAATAGAAAGAGCACCGAAACACGAGGCTATCTGATTTGTACGAGGGGGCGTATCCCCCGAGTATAAATCAGATTGCCGAGTGTTTTGGTGCTCTTTCTCTTTGTATCATAGTCAAACATAAAAACACGTTCCCTGTTGTCACAATTTTAAACCCCGGGAAAAAGTAACCAATGATCGAGCATCTGAATATGATATTTCTACCGCTTTCCCTTTCTCTGCCGTCACAATATGTAAACCCCAGCAAAAATGAGCCAATCAACGGGCATGATCTGGAGTGCGGGTAACTGATACCTGCACTCCAGTTACCGCACTAAGAATGTATATGTATACGATTTAACTCTGACACTTTTTCAACAGGAAAGTCCCCAAACTATGATACAAAATGAGTTTTATTTGACTATCGTACATCATGTAAAATTGCTTTTTTGTAATAAAGTAATGGTTCGAATTAAAAAGAATTAAAGTAATATTTTGTTTTATGATCAATGACTTTTTTTTTTATTAAAGTAGCTGTTTTGATTATTGATGAACAGATACAAAATACTGTCTGAAATATAAAGCGGATAAATAGTAAAACATTTTTTTTAAAGAAAGAAGAAACGACACAGAAAAAAAAATTTGAATAAAAAACAACAAAATTAATGTAAACAAATCAAAACGGCCATGATCTAGTTTCAAATACTAATTAAGAACTCGACAACATTTTGAGGGTATACTGGAAAATGATTATTTTTTCTAGATATAATGTAAGCAATTAAAAAGTAAATATTATCTTATTTTGTAAATGAGTTATTTGAAACTAATATTCTGAAAATTTAATATATTTTGTAAAAATCCAGCATAAGGTTATCAATGACTAAATATCATAGAAATTAACAAATAGTGGACATACTTATTTTTAATTAAAAGTTGCAAATGCCTGTTTCTTATATAGCATTTTTCAAATTGTAAAACTTTCTTTCTTTCCTTTCATATACAGCATAAAAAGCATAAAATATTTTGTTTAATACATTTAATGTTTCCATTAATGACACTTGTTTCATTCCAATAGTGTCGAAAAAAGCGCTTGTAGCTTTCTACTCAATCCTTTTTGCATTTGACTGATACTTTGGGAAGTAAATTATCTTATACCAAAAAGAATGCTTTGTTTATTATATGTCAAACGATAACTTAAAGTGTAAATAATACAGAACATACAAACTTTTTTTTATAATCCCGACATATGAGTCTGTCATATATAACAAAATTTCAAAACCCCAAAATAGAATTTTGTATTGCGCACGTTGAATATCCTAATAATGAAAGAAATATGTCAGTTTGACTAATATTTAAAGTTCATATGAAAACGTTTGTAATATATCAAATGTCATTAAACATATCAGCTCACCGTTGCAGTTTATGCGCTACATAAGTACACCAATTATTACATTATCAATGTAAAAAAAAAATAATTTCATGGATGAAGGTATTTGTATTTGTTATAGGTGTAGCTTATATTCGCAATAGAATTGGTTCTTTTTCACACAGATTTTTTTTAAATTGTCATTTCAAAAGCAACAATTATGTTTTTTAATGTACCGCATAAGAGGGAAAGAAATAAAAAGTCAAAACTTATTGCGAACTTAGATAAAAATGATAATAAAATGCCTCATAAAATCGCATTGTACCTTAATAAGTAACAAAATAGTGGTTACATTATTCGATATATGGTTAATCATACGTCTAAAATGTACCGAAAAAAGATTAAGTCTTAGATGTATTAAGTACAGGGTAGCTAGTAAGTTTAATTAGCCTTTGGGCGCCTTTGGGCTGTATATTTGGATGACATTTTTAAAATTCAGATTTCAGATATTTTTGTACTGTTGGAAACAAATCAAGGCAATCAAATAATCATAAATAGTATCATACTTATATATGTCAAAAGCACAGTACCATTACCCTGCTTAGTTTATTAATAAAAACGACAACTTAACATGTTTTGTTTAAAATATATATTGAGGTCATTGCCGTAACTAACATATAGTGGTGTTCGACCTGGTGAGATGGGACGTCCCAGAATTCCCTGTCAGTTAACATCCTGGTTTCCTGTTGAATTGGCAAGCAAACACTGCTCATATTAATGTATCTGATTGCATCCATGAGTTAAAGTATCAGGAGAACTTTTTTTTGGGGGGGGGGGAGTTGGGGGGAGGGGGGTTCCTGCGTGTGTTTATGTTTTACTTGTTTTTATAACATTATATACTTGTTTTTATAACATTTATATAAATATATATAATGTTATAAAAACAAGTAAAACATACACACACGCACGCACGCAGGAACCCCCTTCCCCCCAAAAAAGCCCTAATTTGTTGTCAAAATTATCACCATCGTAACTATAAACGATATGACACTATTCACATGTACATGTATTCTAAACTTTTGTGAAATACCACAAGTCAGGGTATTAAACGCCAGTACAAGGATTTGTAATTGTTTCCATATTAAATGTTTTGATCTGTAATAACAATAAAATGAATTATCCTCTTTTTCCTGTATACTGACCTAGTTAAATGCATCATATGCCTCAAAAACAACAATTATTTCATTCTTTAGGAAGGACAAAAGTTAAGATGATAGTTAGAGAGCGTGTTAGATACTTATTACTGAAATAAAGTAGACCTTTGAATGTGCAACTATATGTCTTGGAGGTAGCAAAATGTGAACACAGTGGTATTTTGACTTCCATACAGAATACTA